GCACAAGGGGCAGGGAAATGGGGAGCTTATTCCCTCCCATCTCCTGATTTCATAAGGGCTCACTGTTGCTTGTCTGCTTCTTGCCAGCAGAAATTCTACTTGGAAATACTTGCAAAGTGTGAAATTTTCTACAGTGTGAAGGCAACAAAATGCTCCCTAACTGACATTCTGCATCTGTGCTTCCCATCTTTCATCCCCTCCTCCCAAAACCTCCTGGCCTGGTGGACGGGCCTCTGCTCCTCTTCCTCACTTCCCACCCTCTCTGCAGGGTGACAGCGACCCCACTGGGCCCCAGCCATCTGCAACTGTGTCTACACTGGCCTCCAAGCTGCGTAAGAGCAGGGACTTAGCTTTTCTCCTCCATGCTCAGTACCCAGCACAGGGGCAGGCCAGGCACTCAGGAACAGCTGGGGAAAGAATGAATGAACGGAGTCTACCTGAAGAATGGCACAGACTGCCAGGCAAGAGCTCAGGAAACCCAATTTGGATCCCAGTGCTGTTACTTATTACCACTATGGGCCTCAGTTTCCTCATCAGTAAAGTGGGGATAACAGGAGTATCTACCCTCAAAGGAATAATGTGAGGATTAAATTAAATAAGATGGTGTAAGTAAAGGCCTGAGCACTCATCAAAAGAAGCAGGTAGGACATGAGAAGTGAGCCCAGCCTCTGTTCCTGCTCGAGCAGCTGCCAGGTAACTCCTGCAGAAAACTTGGAAAATATAACCCTTAATTTGGTGTGGGGGTTGACGAAGCACCATCAGGGCACGATTATGCCCATCTTAGCATCAAAGAGGAGCCAGTGCTGAGGGCCTGCGAGGAGGCAGCCATGGGAATTGAAACCACAGATCTATTAGAGAAGTTCAAATGGGAAGCAGTCTCCTTATCTCACCTTCCGTTCGTTACCTTGCTGTCCAGAACCGAGGCGCCGGTTTTTTCAGGATGTCAGCCTCCCATTCACCCTTCTCCCCTCACTCTCACCTCACAGTGCTGCCCACACATCTCTGCCAAAATTAATTCATGTTCTTCAGATACTCCCACTGTGAGGTTTTGTTTTTCATAGAATGAAACAAACAATCCTAGGAAGACAGGCTGAGGGGTAATGGGAGAAAGACCAAATACCTCATGGAATAGCCTTAATAAAGAATTTTTTATAGTTCAGGGTTCCCTGCAATATTCACATCAGGCGTTGCCTTTATAGCTTGGAAGTTAAGTGAATGAAAGGAGGGCTCCTCCACAGCCAGGCTCCCAAGCAGATCAGCAGTCATGTACCACAGAGGTGGAGCTCAGCTGCAGAACCAGATGCAAACACAACGCTTTAAAGAAAACTGGGGGAGGCACAGTTCACCGGCCATTCCAGCATCCCTTCGCCCAACCATCTTGACTACAGTTGCTAAAAAAACTTGAGCCTGCTTTTCTTAGTTTCCCTTGAAGCTGGGGGTAGTAGCCACATGACACAGCCGGGGCTAACAGAACATCAGCAGCATTTTTCTGGGGATTTGTGGGAAAGTTCTTGCTTTTTAGATAAAAGAAACAGTCACTCACATTGCATTTTCTGCTTCTTCCTGTCTTGATGGAAATTTGATATCCAGAGCTACAGCAGCCATCCTGCAACTATGAGGTGACAGGCAAGAAGGAAAGGCCAAGAAAACCACCAAAGTGCCAACTCAGATCCCTATCCCAGGTTCAGTCTCAGCAACTGGGACTTCTTACGTAGCTGAAGTTCTCATGACTTCTCATGTAGTTCCCATTTGTTTAAGCCACTATAGCTTGGATTTTCTGTTACTTGCAGTTTAAAGCATTCTACCAAATATTTCATCTACTTAATATCTCATCCTTATCTATATAGCAGAATCTCTTCACTAATTCAACATTATTTCAATCATACTAGGTTTTAAAGTAGATGTCTGATATTATTTGATCCTTTTTGAAGTTTCAGACCCATTTATCTAAGCACCTACTATTGGTACATCTCTACACAAATGTCTCATTGCCACTGCAAACTCAAAAGGGTCTAGACTATGTCTCTTCCAGGACTCCCTATCTCAGTAAGTAGCTTAATCATCTACTTAGTGTCCAAGTCAAGTTCTTTCTTGATGACAGCATCTCCTACATGTGCTCATCCAATCTATCACCAAGTTATACAGATTTCACCATCTGATATTTTTCTCACCTACTTATTTCTCTCCACTAGTCCAATCTAAGTCTAAGTTCTGCATGGCCGGACCATTGCAATAGCCTCCTAACTGGTCTCTCTGAATATGTATTTGCCCTTTCTACAGTGAATTTATAAAAATACAAATCTGACCATGTCATTCCCTTAAAATCCTTTGATAGTTTCCCACAGACCCCATGATAAGGTCCAAATTCCTTAAGACCAAAAAAGTCCTGCTTGATCTGGCCCCTAACTACCTTTCCAGCTTCTCCAGTCCTATCTTGAGTCTCTCCTTTTCAACTACACTGTCATTTTCTCAGTTTCTCAAACATGTCATTTCCATTTGATTTAGGGCCACCACACATGATTTCCTACTTGGGGGAAAGGAGCTCCCCTCCAGCTTATGCCTCCTTAATCCTTACTCACCCCTCTACAGCCCACAGAGTGAATTTTCTACTTCAGATGTGCTTTTCTATTCTAGATCTCCATTGGTTTTTCTCTTTTCTTTGTTTCTATTTCCTCTTATGAGAACCCGCATCTCCTTAAGCATTATGATCACCTCTTCTTTTAAGTCCCACACTGCTTATATACTAGATGCCTCTGGCTTTATCTCCTAATTCCAACATCTGGATCATCTCAGGATCTATTTCTATTGGGCCGCTCTCTTTTTTCTTTATTATGGGTTATAATTTCTTGATTCTTTGCAAGGCTAGTACTTTTTATTAAATGTTGGACACTGCAGAAGAAATCAACCTTGCAGTAAGTCTGGATTATGATGTCTTCTTTTAAAGGTGTTGAGTTTTTTCCTGAAAGCTCCTTTGACCTGTCAGGCTTACTTTCATTTTCTCATGAAGGTGAGTCCATTCTGATTTTTGTCCTTACCCCAAGGGTGTCATACATACTTCCATATGGCCTTTTGGGGTCTCAACTGCATACTTTTGGCTGAGCCATAAGTCTAAGGTCCCTGAGCATTGTGTAACCCCCTGGTATCTCTATTCTTTTCTCAGTCCCATAGCAACCTTTTTTTCATTAGGCCTCATGGAATCTTGCTTTGTATATGTATAGCCCTTAGCCAAGAGCCTGCAGTGAACACAGACTTCTGCTCACCCCTACCAGTCCCACGCCACACCCTCTTTTCCTGATTTTCAAGGCAACCCAAGTGCTGACCTCCAAAGACAGCTTTTTCAATAAATCTGCACAGGAGTTCAGCAAGAACCAGGCGAGTCACCATGGTAACTAGCCGTTTCTGCCGAGAAGTTGAAAATTCACTGACAATTTAAAGAATAATGTCCCTCAGTTAGGTTATTACATTTCCAACTAGAGGCAGAGGTCAAAACAAAAGAGCTAATTAGGCTGCCTTTCTAACAATGCCTATTACAGAATCATCTGACAGATCCTTAAGGTGACCTGGCATCAATCCTGGTAATGCAGTGGACCCCAACTGTCAGCAAACAGGGGCTCCCACTGCCTCGGATGTTATGGAAAGCAATGTTCTTAGCGTTGCTCTTCTCAGTCTCGATATTATCGTGTGCTTAAAAGGAGCAAGGCACTGCATTTACAAGTTCTGATTGGTAGTTTTCCAAATCCATAAGCTATTCTTTGCTATATCCTGAAAAAATTATAATGGGAAAACAGCCTCATTTAAGATTGTCCTTTGAGTGAGAAGCCTGGAGGTCATATACCCATATGGCATTGGTATTGTGAGATGGTGTACTGAAGTTGTAACTCAGAGAAGTTTTTTAGTGTTCAGAGGTTATTTATAATTTTGTGCTTTCTTTGCATATAAGAAGTACAGTATTGGACTTAAACCAAAGTCCATTTCAGCCCAGTATCTTACCTCTTCAGAGAAACCCATGGGTTACTATGAAGGGTACAACTATCCTTCTTATGGTGACCAGCACAGGGGAAGAACCCCGTGATGTATTGTCAGTAGCCCTTCATGTGCTTTTACCTTCTCAGATACTGTTTGTGACCAATCTTAAGCTAACGAATACAGATATTATCAAATTGCCATGGGGAGAGTCCCTGATTTGCTTTAATCATTTATCTTTGGAGTTTCAGGCAGTGATTCCCCAATCTCATATCCTGAAATTTGGTATGGCCAAAGGATGCCTCACACAGAGTGGAGTACCCAGGATGGGTAATTTTGCCCAGGCTACTGAATAAGCAAGTCTCTTCTTTCAGTGGCTGGCTTTGCCTTGAACCCCTGAACATTTAAAGAGCCATAAGGTACCTTAAGGACCATCTGGTCCCACCCTCTCCTTTTATCAATGAGGACACAGAGACGCAGGGATTTGCACCAGTTACACTGTTACTCGGGGACACAATAGGAGTTAAGATCCAAAGCTTTGGTTTCTGGCTTAGTTCATTTTCACTCCACCCTTCCCTCATGGAGACCAGTCATCTGTTTGCTCCTTTTAGATAGTCTTCTTTGGACCATTTGAAATGTCATTCTATCTTCTGGAGGTCTTACTAGAACTACACAAATGAAAATATTTTTTCCTTTCTAGCTTAATGGTTGATGTAATTAAAAATAAAGTTGAGTGTTTTTTTAGCCTCTATGGTAATACAATGATAAAGTGTGTTCAGTGGTCAGCAAACAAGGGCCTACAATAAACTCCAGGTGCCACTCTTAAACTGAAAGACTCAAGCCCATCACCCTTGAGTCTCCCATGCGTCACCCTTGAGTGACCCTGAGGCTCCCATGCTTCCTGTCTGCACACCATGGCTCTAAAAGCCCTTCCTAGGGTTCACCCCCAAAAGTGAGGCTTTCCAATACCGAAAAGACCTTGGTGTTGCCTGCCAACATGGACAGAATTATTAAGGAGCCTTCAGGCTGACACTCACCTTTGCATAAGCAGTTGTCTTAATAAACCACTGTCTGAGGTACTTCTGTTCCACCTTTGCTCCAGAACGCCATGAACAGCCATGTTCATCCACCTGCTCATTGGCAAGCACTGTTTGATCCACTGGGTCCCAGTTAACCAAGGCCTGTTTTAAGTCATGAAGCAAAATGATACGATCTGTTAAGTATACTGAAAAGGATCATTTCCAGGTTCCTTACATGTGAAAGGATCTGCAGATACATTATCTCTGCTCTAAAACTTGAGGGCATCTTCTTGGAGTATTGTTTAGCAAAGAAACCACTTGTAAGCTGTAAAAACAGAACATGTGAACTGTGTCTGTGTTTTCATCTTGTTAGAATAGGCTTGGGAAGGAAGACTGTAAGTATGTGTCTAACTCAAGTTTGCTATCTTCCTGACAAAGGATGAACTTGCAGGATTAGAAATTTTAGTAAACAGAGGAAAAGAAGAAAAATTGGTACTTGGAACCTAGCAGAATTAGATGATTTTAGGGGAAGCAAACATACTTATTTTGTTTCTTAGTATTTTATGAGGTACATACATAATAAAATGCATAAATCTTGAGTGTATATATAGCTTGATGAATTTTGACATGTGCATACATTCATGTAACTATCATCCAGACCATGATATCAAGCTTTCTAATTGTTTTCCCTTTCCAAGGCAACCACCAGTCTGTTCTTTTTGTCTATGAATCTATTTTGTTTTGTTTTTAGAATCCACATGTAGGTGAAATCATATGGTATTTGTCTTTCTCTCTCTGACTTATTTCACTTGGCATAATAATACCCTCTAAGTCCATCCATGTTGACACAAATGGCAAGATTTCACTCTTTTTTTAGCAGCCCATCAGTCTTTAAGTCAGAATTCTATGTATTGCCTAGAAGAGACAAACAGATTTATTTTAATATAAATAGCTAACATTTTTTGAGTGATTACCATGTGCTAGATGCTAAGTGCCTTACTAAGACTAGCTCTTCTTATCCTCATGACAACATTTTGAAGTAAGAGTATTGTTCTTCCCATATTGCAGAGGAAGAGAGACAACAACTTGCCTCAGGTCACATAGTCAGTCAGTGACAGAGACAGGGTAGGAACTCTAAAACATCTGCCTAAATTAAGGTATAACATATATAGAGTAATATGGATAAACCTTAAATGTACAACTCAATGAATTTTTACAATTACTCATATTAAGATATAGGATATTACCAGCATCTCAGAAAATTCTGTTGTGGTCTCTCCCAATCAACATCTGCCCTGCAAAAGGTAACAATATTCTGAGATCTAGCTCCAAAAATTTATTTGGCTGATAGAAACTGCAGTCTTAACCATTCTGAAGTTTTTCTCCAGAGAGCTCTAATTCATTTCCATCTTCATTTAAAATAAGTATCTCTGCCATCTACGTTGACTCTTTCATGACATCTCAGTAAGACTTATACACAGAAAGCAATGAATACAAAGAGATGTGTCTGGGTACTAAAACATCCTCACAATACACATTGTTTTTAAAAGCTTTAAAGAACAATTCCAGTAAGAGATTGTACTGAATACTGTCCATTTACCCCTCCAAATCCTTTTTCCATCCTTTTCTGCACTCCAGGAAGCTGATCTCTGTGCCTGCATTAACTTGCACCCTTGCCCTTTGGGTGGGTTCAACCAACAAGAGGCACCCTGGTTTCTTCCCGGTTGGGCCGTGGCTGGCAGGGATGCAGGCCACAGCCCCTACCGGGCAGGCCTCTCCCACTGCTATCACTGCTGCTCCCCACTTTCAGAAACTACTCCCCAATGTTGCCCCTTCAGCCAGGCGTGGCAAAGGCTTCCTTTGATTGCCAGCGCCATGTGCTCGGCCATCTCTTGTGGGTTTTCCCTAAACTCTGCACAGAGACAGTCCTTTTATTACATTTTCTTCAATGACTGCATTTGGGTAAGCCCTCTACTTCCTGCTGAGAAACTGAGTGATCCACAGACATACCTAAAAATTACGTAAGAAATAGGAGTGGAGGAGACGCTAGCCCTTCTATGAGTTGTGATCTTACAACTAAAAAGTATACATCCATTGAAAAATTTAAGCCTGTTAAGGCTACAGTCAGAGTGGGAAAGGCATGCACTAAATAAATTTCCTCCCTCATTCTAGGGTCCCCAAAAGCCTTGAGTCACATAAACATAGACAAAATATAGGACGAACTTATCTTAGACCTAAAACTTAAGGTTAATAAATGGAGGGTAATTTACTTATCTGTTACCACTGCTGCACTAGGGGTTAGGGGGAGGGGTACCACTCAAAATAAAAGGTAAAAAGAGCCAAGCATTGTTTCGTAATATGGACAGTTTTTTCAAAAGGCAACCACCACAGAGTAAAAAGCACAAAAACAACTCACGCACAACTAAACCTATAAAATACATCAAAGAAAGGGAGAAAATAGCCCTTTGTGCCCTTACCTTTGTCTCCTGCCCCCTGCAAACCTCAGAGGATATGAGAAGGAAACACTCAGTACTGTAGATTGCAAACACAAATAGGACTTAATTTTCTTATCAACATTTCCCACATGGCCTGATATAATGCAATGAGTGTTCCTAAGAGGTTTAAATGTCATAATAAAACCCTGGTGTAGAGTAAAAGACAAATAAAAGCAAAACACAAAAGCAATTTTCTCCCCCAATGAAAGTGTTGGGGGAAGAGGAAAAACACCAAAGGAAATAGCATCTCAAATCAAAGATACATGAGCTCTGAGGACCCATTCACATTTCTTCCCAGGACCATGTACAATCCACCCGGACCACAGGGTTGCAGGATTCAGGCTCAGCCTTTCTACAGGTAATTAATCCGGGGGTGGGCAAAATCAATCGGCTATGTTCACATACGTCAATTTTGTACAGGGACAGTGGGCACCCCATTGCTTTTGCCCCCTTCCCCTACCGTTAAGCTTGGCCATGAAGCTGGGGATTTTAGGGCACCATCATCCTGAATTCACATTTACCAGCTCTGTTCTCTACAACTCGGCAGCTCTGATGTCTACTGCACCAGCAGGCTGCCTCTCCCCAACCCCCCTTTCTCACCCACCTCTCCCTTTGTCTCCTTGCCCTGCTCTCTGGCCTCACCCTTCACGCAGGGTGCCAGTCTCTTCTAGGTCACGTCCCCCATCAGCACCTGTTTGTCTCCTGGCCGATCCTCAGACCTTTGGCTACTCTCCATAGTTTCCCTCACTTCTTTCTTCTTAAGTTCTGCTTTTATCCTACCTAACATCTTTGCTGAGTATCCTGCTAGGCGGCTTCAGGTTCCAGAAGGCTGGCAAAGGGTATGTTCTTAGGGTATTGATTTTCTCAAGGTCTTTTAGCCTTTCCCTTGACAAAAGCATGCTTAATTAAGGAACAACACAAAGATATAAGAGGATCTAATTCTCGAAATCGACTGTGCTCCACCCAGAATGGGTCTAACTTTGGACTGAGCCTCGGGGCTCGGGAAAGGGTCCCCAGGGCTACTGTGTACTTGTTACCTTCACCACCAGCTCCCAAAGCCACACAGGAGGCAGAGCGAGAAAGGTGCCTGTTTTGTGCACAAGGTTTCTGTTGACGTGCTTCTGAAGACCAGGCTAACCTAGCACGTCTGGGTGAATTAGCACTATCATCAGCTGCCACTGAAACCATGGAGCCAGCCAAAGCCACTGAACAGATTCAGTGGTTCTCCACAGGTCCCTAGAATGTCCAAGCAAAATCAGCACCATTCTCTCTACTAACTACAACCATGGAACAAATATTTTTTTTTTGTTTTAAGCCATAGAGGTAAAATTGACATTCTGTCAAGTAGAAGTTTTATATTCATATTTTTGGCTGAAACTGTTTTTGTTTCATGAGAACAAGAACAGATTCCTTTTGCAATGGAAATGAAGACTTTAATGGACAGAGCTTGTTAAGAACAAAAAACTTAAACATCCCAGATATGTTTAGTAATGCTTTGCTAAAATAGTATCCTTGAATGTTCATTTATACATCTTAAAAGCAGGACTGATTTAAGGGTTAAGGCTATCTTTCATTTTTTTAAAAAAAAGTTACAACAGTGTTGTTAGAACAAAAGTATTAATATGTGAGTTATTTTTGGCTAAATATGCCCTAAAAGTATGCTGTATGCATTCTTTCTGAAATCAATGAACTTTCTAATGTTAATTTCAAAAGTGCATATGTTGAAATAAACCTTAGAAATAGAATGCTAATGTCAATATGTTTTACATTTTAAAGCTAATTTGAAAATAGTTATCCAATAAAAGGAGTACTTGGAAAAATCCTTGGATTAGAACTACCTCTGATCTCCAAACAATGTATCAAGTGTGCATTTTTGCATTCTATTTATGATTTTTTCTTAAGATCACGACATTTTAATGGTGACTTAAAAATACATCAAATACCTTTAAGTCAACAACTAGCAACAAAAACACTATCTTTCTAAATGAAAATCCATAAAATAATCTACATTATTCTTCACTAGTACCTGTCTATGGATGGGCTGCCTTAGAATTAGCCAAAAAGCTTTTGGATTTTTTTTACTTTCTATTTTCCCAATTTAAATACCATAAGGACTGGAGGTAAGTCTGCATGCATACTCAGGTGGGCATTTACTGAGCCCCTACTTTGTGCCAGGCACCATTCCAGGCTTTTATAAGCATTCACTTGATTAATCCTTATTAACAACTCTATGAAACAGGAAGAAGAGGCCTGTGGTAGGCAGAACAACTGTACCCCAAAGATGCCCATGTCCAAATCCCTGGAACCGGTGAAAATGTTATCTGTATGGCAAAAGGGTCTCTGAAGATATGATTAAGTGAAGGATCCTAATATGAAAAGATTAAGCTAGATATCCAGCTACGCCCAGTTGTAATGATAGGACTCTTATAAGAAAAAGAGGGGGGCAGAAGAGTCAGAGTGGGAGCAGGGGGCAAGGTGATGGAAGCACAGGTCAGAGAGATCTCAATATGCTGCATGCTGGCTCTGCAGATGGAGGGGGCTCAAAACCCAAGGAATGTAGGCAGCTTCCAGAAGGTGGAAAAGGCAAGGAAACCAATTCATCCCAGAGCCCCCAGATGGCAGGCAGCCCACCACCATGTTGATTTTGTCCAGAAAGATCCATTTTGTGGACTTCTGCCTCTAGAGCTGCTAGATAATAAACATGTGTTGTTTTAAGTGACCAAGTCTGTGCTAATTTGCTACAGCAGCAGCAATAGGAAGCAAATATGGTTTGTTCCCATGAAAGAAGCAGTCCCAGGGAAAACAACTCTTCTCCCCAGAGGCAAGCATACTGTGGTGAGGGAGGTAGGTCACAGTGATTTGGAAACAGCTGAGGAGAAAAACACCTGCAGCTAGCAGGATGGCGGTGCCTGTACAATGGGGCCCTCCCGTGACCCCTTCCATCTTCAGAAAAGCTACTCAGCCCCTAAGACGCTGGCTTTGATCAGCTGTTGGATCCACCGACAGTGATACGGTTCCTCTTCCTATTTAGGTTTGAATGGAGGCAGCAGGACCAAACCCCGAGTGCAGAGACAGAGAGGCAAAGGTCCTACAAAGGAGTACCACAAATTTAAACATTCAATATATTCAAAAATTTAACTTAAATACACAACAGATAACAAAAAGAATGTCCTATAAAGGAGTATTACCAGCACATATTAAGGCTCCCTGTGAGAAATATTAACAGTATTACATTAATGTGTTCCATCATTTCATATCTCATGCATATAAAATAAACAGTAACTACACAACTGAGGACAGGTAACACTGGATAATCTAATATAACTGCTTATGCTCCTCAAAGAATTGTAGACTTCTTCCTGTGGTTTACCTGCAGTATGCCCTTTGCTGTAGCTTATTCATGTCTTACAATTTTTGTTTTTGTTTATCCCTCCTGCTGTCACTTGGGATACATACGTAGCTCACGGTACCTCCCAACCTCTGCCCAGACCCATGGGTGATTCTGTATGGAAACTCCTTTGGGATATAATTACTGTTCACTCAGAGCAAGGGAGGCTTTTCTGTAAATATGTCTATTTGCCAGTCTTCTAGATTAGAACTGTACCTGCTGAATGGAGAAGGATCTCTGATGATTTTTCCACTAATTCCCTTCCTACTCTTTTGCTTCTGAAGAGTGAATGATGCTGTTAAGAAAAATTACCCAAAACTTAGACACAGGCAAAAGGGATCTCTGAGTGTCCTTTCAGCATTAACTGTGATTGTCTAGTAGGCCCACATCCTCCAGGGATTATCTCACTTTCCAGGGATGTGTACTTTTGTTTGACTTCCTAGTAATTATTGTTTTTAAGTTATTTTTACAACCCTGCCAGGGTGCAAGGGGAGAAGTGAACATATAGAAAATTCATAGCAGGGATAAGGACTTTTACCTGAGAGTGGCTTCCATCCAGTGACAATGCAAATGACACCTCTGTCATAGAAAAGATAGCCCCAAAAGTTAGGTTTCTTGCCTTCTAGAACATTAAGCCCTTTTTATTCAATTAGCAAATTTATTCAGCATTCCTTTGACTCTATAAATGTCTGTTCTTGAATCTCATTTGAACCAGTCTCAACATATAAGTGGTTCCCTCACTAATTGATGAGTTGAATAAAATCTTTGACGCCTGTTCTTTTTGAATTCCTATGGGAGTCATGTTTTCAACTTTTGAAAATTATGCTTTAACAACACATAAAGGTCTGTGGCAGGCAGGAACTTTGAACAGGCAATCTTGTCTCTCACCATGCCTCACCTAATGGAGCTCTGGACATGGGATCAGCTGTGATGCTTTAAGGAATTACACTGACCCAGGAGATTCTACAGTATGAACATTAGCATGACTCAGTTCCACCAAGTTCTCACTCTCAATTCATCTCTAATGTAGCAGGGACTCAATACTTCCTTTGAAAAAATAAATAGGCATAACATTTTAATATTAAGTAATATATAAATAACATTTTAAACGACCAACATTTCAATATTCTTAAAGATGGGACCAGGGGTAGAGGTTGTTAAGCAGGGATAGAGGCTGTGTACAGTGGTTCTCAAAGTGTGTCCATTAACTTCTAGGGGTCCCTAGGGCCCTTTCAGGGGGTATGCAGGCCCAAACTATTTTCATTATAATAATAAGATGTAATTCCCCTTTTTCATTGTGCTTATATTTATACTGATCATGCAAAAGCAACGGTGGGTAAACCTGCTGGCCCTCAGCATGAATCAAAGTAGTGGCACACTAGTGACCAGGGACTCTACACCACTGTGCACTCACAGTACAAGGAGAAAAAAAAGCCAGTTTCACTAAAAATGTCCTGGAGGAAGTGATAAAAGCATTAATTTTATTAAATCTTAACCCTTGAGTAAATATCTTTTTAATATGTTCTGTGAGAAAAAGTACTAATGCAATTGAGCTGTGAGCTTGATTAGCACTTTATTTCATGTAACTATTTTTATGTGAAAGAATGACTGACAATAAACTATAGTTATTCAAACTTAGGTATATGGCAGACATTTCCTCAAAAATAAACAAAGTGAACCTGTCACTCCTAGGAAACCAACTGATGGTATCTGTTGCCAATGATAAAACTTGAACTTGCAAGTGAAAATTTGAACTTTGGAAACCTTGTATTTGCCCACCAGAAGCTTCACAGCTTCCCCAAACTCAAAGACTCTTCTGATGATGTGGAGAAAGGGAAGGTTCCTGTGGCCAGGATGCTCACTGGCCCTGGTCGGCTTGCTCACTGCACATGTGTGGGCAATACGGTATTACTGACTCGATATAAAGAGCTCCGCCCAGCACTCTGGGTGACACGGTGGCATGGCTGCAAGGCTACAGGAGAGCAGAGATGAGACAGGAGTGCTGGCAGCCCTGAGGACAGAGACTGGGACTGCTGAGGGGGCAGAGAGGCCCAGGGGCAGAGTCCGGCTTGCTGCACGCAGACTTGCTCTGAGTGGATGGGATTCTAGTGATTGACTTGCCACTGTGGGAATAAAGTTAGGTATAACCCTTTCACCCCAAGAACATTCCACTGACATTTTTTTCAGTCTCATTGAATCCATAATGAATTTGTCTGGGGCTGAAACCCACTGGCATAACAGATGAAATAATGTCAACATTTGGAAGGTCTGCGTAATTCATGAACTAACATTGTCTAAAAGACCAATGTATGATGTTACAATGTTACAAAATTACCAGTAGATATAAATCCCTTCAAAGTGCAAGACAGACCAATACATTTTAATGTAACAGTACAAAGAGTTCATTGATGCTTTTCAGATTCAACACTGCAACTGATGTTTAAGAAACTACCACTTGTTGAGTTTTGGTGTAGTATCAAAGAAGAATATTCATAAATATTTGAAATGGTTATTAAAATACTCTACCACTTTCAGCAGGATCTGCTCATTAGTTCTTCTGGTGTTTAACATCAGAAGTTTAATAAAATTATACTGGAATTTTGGTATATTATTTTGATACAGTTCTACTGACCCTCTGCCATATACTTTGAGGTAGTCAGCATGGTCATATAGCCTTTTTCCCATCCCTAACCCCTTTTCTGTTTTTTGTTGTCTTTGTTATCTTTAGCTTTAATAGTTACCTTTCTGACTATAAAAATTAGATGTAAACCTCTAATTCTTCACCTCTGACTCCTTGTTATGAAAGAGGAAGTAATTACACCTGCTTCTACTTCTCTACCCCAATTTCACCTCCTGATGTTTATGAACTATATTATTTTTAAGATTTCAAGGTTTAAGACACTTTTGCTTTATTCTGAAATTCACAATGAGCCTTCTGCATATGTCTCTATGTTGATACTACAAATCTTTAAACTTAAACATGATTATGTAAGTACTATCCACTGTAAGACCAAGCAGTGTGATGTAACCACAGGAAAGTAAATAAAATTCTATGTTTGTTGTTAAATCCCTCTGGTTAAAGGAGAATGTCTCAAGCATAAAGGTACAATGGATTTTCTACTTGTTACTTCTAAATTTTCGGGACCAGTACTATTTAGTAGAATATTCCAATAGGATGGGAATGTTCTATTGTATATCTGTGCTGTCCAGTACTAACTTAATAGCACATGAATGTGGCTAATGTGTCTGAGGACCTGAATTTTTAATATTATTTAATCTTAAGTATTTTAAATTTAAAGATCAACAACCCATGTGGCAACAACCCATGCCACTAATGGCTATCACACTGGCTGGTGCAGCTCTAGGTCACAGAATGATATTCTCCCTCATCTCCCACAATCTAAGGCTTATCTACTACTGTTGAGCTCCTGCTATAACAAGCACCTCCATTTGTTAGGAGGCCACTATGTGTAGATATTGTGATAGTGGTTCTTCTAAGTATAACCTCTAATCTTCCCAAGACCCTGCAAGGAAGATGTTAGTGACTCATTTAGCAGATAAGAAACCCTGATTCCTGGGGTGAAGTTACCCAGCGGGCACACAGCTGGGAGAGGTAGCTGAGCTAGGATCTGAGAAACCTGCGTTTCTCCTATGCTCCCTCCTTATCTCATTACAGGCACTGGACACTGTGTTATGTGCTGGGAATTCAAAGGTGAAAAAAGCCCGAGCCCTGTCCTGGAGGCACCAGACTAAGCCAGGCAGTGTTACTTTCTGGGTTGGCTATGACTGACTTCATGAACTTGAGGTAGTGGTCATTTTCACTGCTACTGTGCAAACAGTATTTATTTGTTTCTTATTTAACAAAGATGTGTTTTAAGATGGAGAAGATTTACAAAACTTTTAAAGTACAGCTAACTTTAACTTACCTCCTTTTGATAGGCCAGTCCAGCTTCGTAGAGTTTAAGAAAGAGGTACTGAGTCCATTTGTAGTAATCTGGTAAACACGTAGTTATTTCCTGCCAAAGTGGGGGGAAAATGTCATGCACAGACCATTGTAAACATATCCCTCCAAGGTATGCATCAGTCTTGCAATTCGATTTTGAAAAGCAATCACACCATAAAAATGTTTACCAACATATAATATTTTCCACCATTTTGTGAAGTGAGGAAAGAAGCTATTTATTCTGGGAAAAGGGCTGTTACTGAAATGCCATGCCCCCTTTCCCAGGGCATGTTTAATGATGAGAAAAACCAACCTTCGCCATGCCCCACCCCATTCCTGCAAGTAGCAGGTGAATGACATTGTACGAAACTGGCTATTACCATTCTTGTCAGCACAAACACATTCTGGGGGCCGAAGCTAATTCATGAGTGCAGTTCATTTGAAAGTAAGCACAAAATTCAAGAGGAATATTTGCTGCTTCAGTATGATCCTCGTTGAAAACAAACGTATTTCTACATGTAACTGGGGCTTGGCAGCTCCTTTACACTCATATTCCATTTATCCCATTATGTGAATCAGGCTGTAGTCTGTGGGAATAAAGTTAGGTATAACCCTTTCACCCCAAGAACATTCCACTGACATTTTTTTCAGTCTCATTGAATCCATAATGAATTTGTCTGGGGCTGAAACCCACTGGCATAACAGATGAAATAATGTCAACATTTGGAAGGTCTGCGTAATTCATGAACTAACATTGTCTAAAAGACCAATGTATGATGTTACAATGTTACAAAATTACCAGTAGATATAAATCCCTTCAAAGTGCAAGACAGACCAATACATTTTAATGTAACAGTACAAAGAGTTCATTGATGCTTTTCAGATTCAACACTGCAACTGATGTTTAAGAAACTACCACTTGTTGAGTTTTGGTGTAGTATCAAAGAAGAATATTCATAAATATTTGAAATGGTTATTAAAATACTCTACCACTTTCAGCAGGATCTGCTCATTAGTTCTTCTGGTGTTTAACATCAGAAGTTTAATAAAATTATACTGGAATTTTGGTATATTATTTTGATACAGTTCTACTGACCCTCTGCCATATACTTTGAGGTAGTCAGCATGGTCATATAGCCTTTTTCCCATCCCTAACCCCTTTTCTGTTTTTTGTTGTCTTTGTTATCTTTAGCTTTAATAGTTACCTTTCTGACTATAAAAATTAGATGTAAACCTCTAATTCTTCACCTCTGACTCCTTGTTATGAAAGAGGAAGTAATTACACCTGCTTCTACTTCTCTACCCCAATTTCACCTCCTGATGTTTATGAACTATATTATTTTTAAGATTTCAAGGTTTAAGACACTTTTGCTTTATTCTGAAATTCACAATGAGCCTTCTGCATATGTCTCTATGTTGATACTACAAATCTTTAAACTTAAACATGATTATGTAAGTACTATCCACTGTAAGACCAAGCAGTGTGATGTAACCACAGGAAAGTAAATAAAATTCTATGTTTGTTGTTAAATCCCTCTGGTTAAAGGAGAATGTCTCAAGCATAAAGGTACAATGGATTTTCTACTTGTTACTTCTAAATTTTCGGGAC